TTTTTTTTTTTGACTACTCAAGTGAAACAGTGGGAAGGAGACACGCCTTAGGAGAAGCCTCACAAGTTCCGGTCTCTCCTCTGCAAAGTCCTGGAGTCAACTCAGACCTTGTGTTACCAACAAGTAACTATTTCTGATGATTCCTAATCTGCAAGATGGATATACTAGTGACTACTTTACAGGGATTATGTCAACGCATGTTTATTAACAGGCTGCCTGGGTGGGATAAACACTCAAATGTAAATTACTGACGTTAAGCGTTTTCTACATCACTATTTTGTCATTTAACACACTGCGTTGCAATTGTGTTGGCTTAAATCATCTCTACACTATGATTTATTCAGCATAGCTCAGCAAATGGCTTCTGATTTAACAGATGAAGACAGGGCCTGGTCCGACTTCTGTTTCATAACCAGGGTTACGCAGCAGGAGCTATCGGGCCCGACTGTCTGGTGCCTACTTGTCCCTTTGGGGAGCAAACAACTTCGCAGGATGGGATGACCAAGCCGTGCGGAACCAGCCTGCGATTAACGTCGCTGCATGTCAGGCAAAGGCTGATACCCATCAGGTCTCACGCCTCCTAGCAGCTACAAACTCAGCCAGAAGGCGGCAGTGACCTCTTCAAGTCAGGATCGGCCACACCTCGCCCCCACCCGCCTATCCGTCGTGGCCCTAAGGATGACCCCACCCCGCAGCCGCACCTGGGTCCGGGTGAGCGCTGCGGCCGCCACTGCCCCACACAGGAAGGCGGCCGCGAAGAGCACGAGCTCGACGCGCTGCAGCCAAGGAAGCGCCATGGCGCCCCAGCCACCAGGAAGCGCCGGCGCCAACCGCCCAAGCCCCGCCTCATCCGGGGCGACCCACGAGCGCAGAGGCGTCACTTCCGGGAGGGGCTTTATTTACAGAGGTAGGGGCGTCTCCCCAGCCCACCCCGCCCTAGAGCGGCAGGTACAGGGAGTAGTCCGACAGCGCCCAGCGGCGGGCGGGGCGGCCAGTGCGGCCAATCATGGGCAGCTTCTGCACGTAGCGGGAAGCCGGGCTGGGCCCGTACGGCGCTGGGAAGGCAGTTTGGAACAGACGCCCGCGACAGCGCCTCCCGGCCTGCCGCCCGGCTATAATAAACCGGAAGTGGGGAGCACTACGCGGGGCGAAACGGCTTTTCTGGAAGACGTCGCGGGTGCCGGCGCCAGGACCCTGCTGTCGGGGCGCCCCGCGCGTCCGGTGCACGCGCGGCAGCGGCCTGCTCTCGGAGGCGGCGGACGCGGAGGCCGACGTGGGTCCACCGCCGCCTCGAGGGCTCTCGTCGCCCTGCGGACTGACCACGGCACTGGCAGTCAGCTGCGGCATCTTCCGCACCGAGTCTGGGGCTGCAGTCGGCTCCTTCTTGTCCCCGGGTGGCCGGGGGGCTGTGGGTGCGGGCTGGCCCGTGCCGAAACGAGTTGCCAAACTGTCACCGAAGAAGGCGTATAGCTCCCGGTAGATGTCTGCCAGGGTCACCGAAAGAGAAGGGTCCTCCGGTCCCGCTCCCCCTGGGTGTAGCGGGAGTCCAGACCCAAAGCCTGGCTCTGCACCGCCCCCAGAGGGAGACTCTTGCAGGAGAAGGCTGTCCCAAGGCAGGTCTTCTGGAAGCCTGCACCCCCTGCTTCTTGAGCCACCTCTGTTGGGCTCTGCTGCCTGGGCCTTCATCTTCAGCAGTCGCTCTATGGCCACCTGTAAGAATAGGGAACTAAGAATTGGGAGGAACCCGCCACCATCAAGTATTCCAAAGTAAGCCCGCTGAGTTGCTGAGCTTAAGCAAAGAATGGAGGCAGGAAGGGGCTGGCACTCACCAGAATGGCTCCATAGACTTTGTGCCCATCTGCTTTGACTTGGGCATTAGATACTGAATAATCATCCAGAACAGCCTGCAAGTTTGTCCAGTAAGTGGATAGGTGTGGGTACAGGACTCGTTCTACTGCCTGGAAGGAAGATAAATGAATGCAGTAAGCACCTCTTTGTTGCTTTTTGCCTCTCTGACCTACTTATATCCCTGATACTAGACAGAGCTTAGTTCTCTTAAATTTCCAGACTGACAAATTCAACCAACATTAATTTAGAACCTCCTGTATACCCAAGCCTTAAGCACTATGGACGAAGATAGGGTACAAAAACAGACAATAAAAAGGGACCCCACTATCACTGCCATACGTACCAGGGGATAAGCGGGCCTAAGTAATGCCCATTGCTAACAACAAAGAAATTTAGTTTACAAACTGCTATCCAGAACAAATATTGGCCTTGCTTAGATGTAAACTGGGACTCCATTCTGCATAAAAAGAACCAGACACCTGGACTCCAGTTATAAAATTTTAAAGCCTGTGATTGAGGGAAAGTAATTAAGAATTCACAGAGGTGTGTGGCACCTATGGCTCAAGGAGTAGGGCGCAGGCCCCATATGCTGGAGGTGGTGGGTTCAAACTCAGCCCCAGCCAAAAACTGCACCCAAAAA